TAGATACTTTTGGATGTCAGTATAGGCGGCAGTAAGCATATGGGTTTTCTTCCTATTTAGTGCTTGTGCTTGTGCCTTAAGCAATATAATATCAATAATTTTCTGAATCCTTAATTTATGTAATTAGTTTGAAGTTTTTTCCCACATAAATTATATATAACTGCAAGGTGGAAAAACTATTTTTACCGAAAACATAGTGTATATTATAATTCCGTACATTATGTTTGAAATGAATAAATTTTTTTGATAAACATATAATATATATATTGAAAGACACTAAATTATAATTTAATTTTATATACAATAATTTAGATTAAAATATTATTAGACAATTGATTAAAATTATAATAAATATACTAATATAGTTACAATTAATAAATTCAGAATTCATTATAATATCAACTAATACAAGTATCTATCATTACTACTAATTAATAGTTATAGAGTCTATCTAAAGTACATTTTTTTTAAGCTCATATTTCTATGACTACAACATAACTTACGAAAAACTCATATTAATTGATGAAATAAATTATTAGAATATATAAATTGATTTTTATTGTAACATACTTAATACATACTAATGTAAATTCTTAACTTTTTGTAAGTTAAGATATGTCTAAATTTTTTTTAAAAAAATGACTAATAAGTAGTATTTAACACATGATGAGATGAACTTAAATCACTGCTAAATATAAAATGAATATTTTGTAACATTCAATTTTATCTTTCGATGATACAACTAATTCATATGGGAGACAACTTAGTAGATGAACATATGATTTAAATCCTAATTAAATATATTCATATTATGTGCAACGATCTTAAGATATTTATTTCATTCATTATTGATAGAAACAATTATAAATCCTAAAGACAATACTTGGATGCATTTCTAGTAATAGATGATAGGTATCTTAATAATCGTAATAGTACACTTTTTTGTCAATCTTTTACACAATAAAATCGGTGAGCCATTTTGCTCCACATAAATAACAAAACCGAGCATAACACCTGTAACACACTT